CGGGTCTTTGTGTCACGGTATTGCACAGGATTTCGTTTTAAGCAAATTTTCCCGATCATGAAATGTACCTGAAACAACACAGCGGGAGCAGGTGTGGCTCTGGTCAATTGAATGTGAGTCAAAATTTCAGGCATCTGTCCTTCTCTTGCACCGACGTAAAACAATCTGAAATAAAAATCGCAGTTAATAAGGCGCCAGTTCATTAAAAATTCGAAAACTAAAACCTCCACTCACCTTGAAGAAGTCAGCAATATTCCATTGACAGCTCCAAATGTTGACATGGCCACGAAAATCGGGATGGTGAACGACACCATGCCGAATAGCTTGTCAGCAAAGGTCTGTCGAGAAACATGAATTCATTTTCAGTTTTCAAACAGATAATAAAAATTTATTTAAATATAATGAATGTTACGTACCACGGCAACAGCTTGGGACTCCAGCATTTCCAGAGGAGACATGGCAGTAAAAAAGGCAACATTCGTCAGCACGTATATCACTGTCACTAGCGTGCAAGAAATTGCAACTGCGCGCGGCAAATTCCTAAAATAAATAATAAAACAATTTTTAAAATCCGTGCATTTCCTGAATAACGGATATAAATCTGATGACTCACTTGAGCGGATCAATCAGCTCCTCTACAATATAGTTCAAGTAGTTCCTGTCAATATTAAAAAAAAGTAGATCAATAAACTGAAAGAAACAATATGCACACCAAAAACAAAGTTTACCATCCATTGTAGGCAAATAATCCGGCATAAGCTGCCAGCGATATCTTTTTAATGTCCGTTTCGGTATTCTCGAAGTTGAAGTGTTCGAAGTGACCTGAGGAAAATAAAGGAAATGTTACAAAGTTTACCATCCATTGTAGGCAAATAATCCGGCATAAGCTGCCAGCGATATCTTTTTAATGTCCGTTTCGGTATTCTCGAAGTTGAAGTGTTCGAAGTGACCTGAGGAAAATAAAGGAAATGTGAAAATTCTGAGAACAGCGTTTATAAAGACTTAGGTATATAATAATTCTTTACCCTGGCAAAGCTCGTACATTCCGGCAATAATGATGATGATCAAGGCGATGACTTTCGCAAATGTGAACACATCTTGAACTCGCGTGGCCCATTTCACGTCCCAGCAATTGACCGCAGTGAGAATGACTGTAAAATAAAGATACAGTAGTGCGAAGTTATTATTTAAATGTGATACGATTATACGCAACTTCGGGGTTTTTTTTTCAGCACAGTTCAGTCCAGTACCCTGATTTAAAACTTGTATTAAGTTCGTTTTATTTAAAGTCTCGCAGTAAGCTGCCCTTAGTCGTTATTATATTATTTATAGTGTCCCTTAGTAAAGATAAGGTGCTTCTTTCAAGAGCAGTCGATGACACACAAAACCGAAAAACTTGAGAATGTCAATTTCATCTGACAGCCTGGTACTGATGCCAGACTGGGATGATAAAAACCTTATTAATTCGAGTGTTATCCTAATTTACTTATCCTGGCCCTTTGGTACTTCCTCATTAATAAAGAACCTAGTTCAGGAGTTACCATGAGTTTTGAAGAAGTTCGTTCACTGCACGTTTTAGTTTTTAAATATTTCCAGCATTTTTAAACGTAAATATTCAGAGTCATCTTGAACTTAATAATTAAGGCGTGCGTCGTTTACGGGAAATGTAAATTAGGGGTAAGAGAGAGTTTACCTCTTTTAAAAGTTACTCGGTGAAATTTTTACGTACATATCACGAATTTAATAATTTGAGCATTTCTCGGGATTATTTTATCGTTAGTTGCCGCCATACCAATGCAACCACGACCATGTCAATAACCATTCGAGAGATACTACTGAAACAAATGTTGAATTCCTTTATAGTGATGGATCGACCCATTCAGGAAAATCACCTGAAAAATCTGCCTGCAATACCCTGCCCATGGCTAGAATATATTTCACAAAGCATGATACAAAATGCAATATTTTTTCGCACGCCCGCTAAAACGGGTGTGATCTTTGATTGGTAACTTTCAACAATTTTTCAAATGGTGTTTCGATTTGCGAGGTGTCACATTCCAGAGCTTCGTGATGGTTTTTCTCAAACTCTTCCAGTCTGATGGAAACCTGTAATGTGCACTAGGTATTTTTATCTCGTCATCGCGCGCCAAGGAAATTTACAAGATCGTCAAGAATCATTTAATTGGGCGAATGCGTCTCTCGCTCCCCGATGACGGAACATTTCATTCAGCTGATGGATTCGTATACAGTATACTGTAGACACATCAAGTGCTGCACCGCATGAGCAGCAAAGGAAGCATTCGATCTGCGTTGCTCGTCTCACCAAGGGGAAAAATTCCGAGGCTCGACAAGCGAGAGATAACATTTTGACAAGGCCGTTGTGCAAGACAGAACCCACCATCGCGGGATCGGCTTCATTCCCCCGCGCGTCCACACTCATTCGTAATGTATCAAAAGCAACTGCTCGCGTCAGAATGCCAGCCCAGTGGGATAATGAATGCGTTCATTCGCGTGGCACTAGACGTACGATGCGATGAATCCTAAATGAGTAACCGAGGAAGAGCCTCATCATCACGCCTCGAATGTACCAAGAGCATCAGCATCAGCAGCAGCAGCATGAGCACACGAGCAACAACACACGCTCGACTCAATTCCACTTCCTCTCTTTTTTTTTTTTCGTCTCGAACGAGCAAGTGAGAAACTTCAGTTCCTGTGCTTCATTTGCCGGCATTTTTAATGTAGTTCCGGTGCGGATGAGGATCGAGGCCTTTAATGGCACGAATCATAAGTACTGAACAGTACTGAGCACCAATTACAGCGCAGTTTTTGATGGAGTACAGTTGAAATTTGATTATCCATGCAGGCTTTGGATAAACTATGTGGGCATTGGTGTTAAATCTGTCCTAAATTCGATTCAACAACAAATGATGAGGCCTACGGAATGCTGCATAATTTGAATAAAAAACCATCCCTTTATTTATATCTCCGATCGGCTAATTATTCGAGCTAAATCGCATCTACATTTGCGAGAATCTCACCATGCTGCAAAATTTGAATAAAAAACCATCACTTTATTTATATCTCCAATCGGCTAATTATTCGAGCTAAATCGCATCTACATTTGCGAGAATCTGACCAGCTTTTTTTATTAAAAGGTATTCTAAAAAATTTTGGACCTGCAGAATAAAATTAAAGATGCATTGAATCCCGGTAAAAGCATCCATGCATTGATTATCGCCTTGATTATCATGAGTTATTTTGAACAATTCAGCACAACGAGCTGAGGAATTTTAGCTATACCAGCTCATCAGCATACGTTTGGGATGATCTAGATCTGTTCCGATGAATTCATACGGTTTTGAATTACCTTTTTCAACCACAAACCTCATCAAAAATATTGTGCTGCATTGAAAGTGCATCAGGGGAGTTACTGTTATTGCTTCGATCGTCGTGTACATTTAATTTGACATGAATCTTGCATTTGTTTTGCCTTCTCTCGATTCCAAATCGGCAGCCGAGATTTTTCGGAAAACAAATGCCAATAACACGAGTACAATATAGTAGAGTGCAATACATTTACCTCCGGAAATTTCCCATCGTTCCAAAAGGCCGCAATGATCGTCAGGAAAAAGAAGAATGAGCAAACAATGAAGGAAAAAAGAGAGACAGAGATTCGTATTTGACAATAGCGAACTTGAATAAAATACTTCTCTTGACTCCGGTAAACAGCGATCAAAAACCTTTCACATATATAAAAATGATTCGGATAAAATTCGAAAACACACGCCCTGAACAAAGTGATCCATTTCAGTCAGATGAAGTCCCAACATTCTCAACGAATGGTAAATGTGTGATACAGTACGTGAGAAAGTTTCATGAAAAAAATACTGTAATTGCGATGAACTAGCATTTCGAACCATACAAAAAAAACTAGTATCACTTGCACCTAAATAATGGGCCTCCAGTTAGTCTCACAATATTCCATTTCCTTTTTGGTTGCCTTTAAAGGTTATCTTCAGTCGAGCGGCAACTTTTCAAACCAGCAGCGTACGTTGTACGATTTATTGCTTCACAAAAAATTCCGTCTTTCACGATGATGAGTGCTCCAGAGCTACAAAAGTGAAGCCAAATAAGACAGAAATCTTCGTTGGTGCTAAAAAAAACAAAAAGAGACGATGGAAAGAACGTAAAACCCGTGTTGGGTGTTTCACATTCAACGCTCCATTAATGCGTATAACGGGGGCACTGTTCCACTAAATTATGAATGACTGGCGCAGCAACGCTATAAACCCAGGGTTTTCCTTCCCGACAGGAATTCTATGCCTGTGCAAGCGATTCCCCGATAGATTCCACTGCGCTAGTATAGGCAAGTAAGTAAGACTTTTCAGAAGAAGTACCGTATATACTGAAGTACCACTCGAACCTTCTTGCTCAAAAATTCAGCTTCAAAAGTGCTGGGGTGTGTGTCACATACTCGAGCATACAACTTTTACCTGAAAATTTTGTAAATTGCTGGTGCGCGACATGCTTGAAACACGTTCAGTGAAGTTCAGAGAAATACTTTTTAGTGACCAGTGTGAGTAAAAATACATATTTATGGTCAAATCGGAACGACATGTAAAAACGTGAAAAAAACAAATATTCGACGCTCAATTTCTCTAACTTTCCTTAATTCGACAGCCTTGCTGATAAAATATTGCGTAGGTTATACTAAGGATATTACATATTTACAACCCTCGAAGAAATTTTTTTCGCTCTTAAAACACGACGTTGAAAATATGAAATTGTAATGCATGCGTGTCTTGTCGTGCCTTTCCTTCTCACTTGAAAAAATGTGGCATAATTTTGCAAATCCTGTCGCGAATAGTTAAAAAAATATTGATAAAAAACACTATTTGGTGAAGCAATGCTTGGTACAACTTTTACAGTTCAGTAGCTACCCAAGAACACTTTCCTGAAATACAGTACAGTATAAAAAATATAAGGAAATCATAAGGTGAACGTATTTCACCCTGAGACTACTCTAAATTTGAACTGACCATTCTCTAGAAATCTAGAGTCTATTACTCAATCATTCCTTTCCACACATATTTCCAAGTTCGAAGAAAAGGGCCAAGATTATTTACATTGAGAGCAATATGCAAACCGGTCAGAAAAGGGAAGAAAAAAAAATCTCGACTGAAAATTATTCGGGTAATTATCAGAGTTCTCCTGTATTTCCGAACAGCCCTCCAACACGCATTTGCGTTCATACACAAGCTCAAGATTCTACACGTCCACTTCGTTCAGATAATAATTGTTGAGCTTGTAATTTTTCCCGACAGATCCCTAAGAAAAATTAGTCAGCACATTTTAAAGAGGCCCAGCAGGTCAACGCGTCTTCTCCAGATGGATTAGATGTTGCCGGTGGTTTCTTTTTTCACGCAATCATCACTATGTATTTTTACACGGAAGGCTACGTACCCAAGCAGATGCACACCTCTTAAACCTGTTGCTGACTTCCTGAACAAAATTATCTGATTCGATAAAGAGGAAAAAAACGTTTGTGGGAATACGATTATGCTGTCTGTCGGTTGACCACTCCAAATGCATATTATGTGGTTGTGGCGAAGTTGAGAGAGACCAAGGTTCGACGACGAAGCGGAGGCAAGAATTGATGGATTGTTGCGGCTATCAAGTTTCATCAGGGATGCTATTCAGCTAATGGAGCGAACGTTCGTTTTATAAAAAAAGACCTGCCTGGTTCCCTTCGTAGTAATACAGAACTAAAAAATAAAGCAATAATATTTATTCGCGAATGGCTGCGGTCATGAGTTATGGCACTGGAATTTACTGTACAGTACAATGAAAATCCTTCGCAACGCGAATAAAACAAAGTTTCCGCATGCGATCAGCCAAGTTTCAATTCCGGAAAATAATTCCCGCACAATTATTTGAACAAAAAATGAAGGACGTCCCTTTTTTCTTTCGATGACCATTCGTGCCACACAAAAAAGCACGGCATTATTCAAATACTGTATTCCACAAAATAAAATTTAAAAATGTTTGCACTGCAGTATTAATACTGTAATGTACTGTACAAGAAATAACATTTAAAATATTTCTTTTAAAATATTTCAACTGAGCTTGCGTAATCCGCTGACGCAAGCTC